CAAATCTGCCAAACCAAATTAATAATTCCCATTTTCACGAATACCAAACCCCCAGAGAATGTTAAGCAGTGATGCATTGATTAACTTTGTTCCGATGACGCCTTTAAGACCTATCTGGCAGAGTTCACCCTTGCAGTCGGCTTGTCTGGTACTCGTCAATGGTATGGGACTGGAAAGAACGAGGGACGTCTTTTATTGTAACCACTGGAACGCGCTTTTAGTTGTGAGGTGTCACAACCCTGCTCAAAGGCGTTTGCCTATCATTCCTTTAATAAAACTGAGGGCCGGATTGCAGTGACTTGAGTAGACCTTCGGCCACGACAGATCCTAAACTCTTCCCCTCATTCGGCAAACTCGGATGGATTATTTAGACTTCGCAGCAACCCAGTCAGTCCTCAGTCGTCAAATGCCCCCTTCCAATGATAGCCACCAGATCTTACGCATGATGTCGTACGCCTGGGGTCGATTAAAACAGCATTGATACCAGCTAAATCCAGTGCACATACAGTACACGACTTGCTACTAGAAGGAAAGAGACGATTTCCAGAAACTAGCCTTGAAAAAGGAAACGCGATCACTAGAACAAGAGGTATACTTCAGACTCTCACTCGAACCCAGCATCATCACCGCCTATTTACGCGACTGCTTCTGATGAGGGATTAGAGTGAGATTCCGAAAAGCCAGACTAATAAAAGCACTTGTTTCAATGAATGAGCCTTCCTTTTTGCGAGTATAGGACTAGGCAATCTGTTTACTACACCAGTTCACTGGGCTTGCATCACTGTCCTCTTGAAGAAAAACTATTGACAAAAATCGCATTTGCAATTTCGGTCAAAAAAACTCATGTAGAAGCAGTCAGGCAATACGGCTATTTTGGTATGATAAGGTCGCTTTCTATGGTGACTCCGGGTCGACGACTGCTCGCCTTTAATTGCCGACTATGCCCATTGTGTGTCCCCCCAGCAAGGTGGACATAGGGACGGTGACTTGCGTACTAGTGGACTTGCACTTTATCTACTGCACTCGCTCCTACCTGGACCCGGTGGCAAGACCAGAGAGGGAGGGGGGAGTCACCAAAAGCAGGGGGATAAGAGGAAGACAGTGGCACTACCTGTTCTTCGCGCTTGCTCTGTTCAAGAACCATCTGCAGTTTAAGTGCCTCCTTGGCTTCCTCCTCTTGCCGTTTTCGCATCTCCTGTTCATGCTCCTCGCGACTGATAGCCAGAGCCAATTGTAGTTGCAACTCCTCTTCTCCATACGAATGCGGCAGAGCTGACTCGATGTCTGGAGCCGTTCCTAGCAAGAGACAAATCAGGGGTTAGTTTAAATGTGAGGACGGCAGGCAGACAGCGAGAGAGAGGGACATATTTGTCTAGTCGTCGTAGTTAGACTCGAGCCCCGTCAACAGCCGCACAGCAGCTGTGGGTAGAATAACACTACCGGCAAAGACGAGAGGGGCTGAAACGGCCAGTGCTGACTTATTGGCCGTCATTGACCAGCCATACCAAAGCCCAG